CACGTACCTGGATGGAGACATCGCTGTAGGAGCCGCCGATGACCCCAGTGATGGCAGTGGGAGCATCGTCGTGGGTGGCATAAGAGCCATCGGGGCAGATGTGGCGGGAGCCGTCGGCACCTCTGCTAAGCGAGGCACGCACGAAGTCGAGCGCCTGCTCCAGCGCATAGGTGTCCTTGGAGCAGCTGTCCAGTATGTGCGCACCCAGGCGCACACCCGGCAGCAGGCGCGGGTCGCGGTTGATGCGGTCCAGCGCAAAAAGCATGGCCTCCAGGCGCTGGATGCCGCGATGCTCGTTGACGGGCCCGCACTCCTCTGCCGGGCCTCCCTTCTGGTGTACGGGGAACAGCCCGCCCAGCACCAGGTCCCCCTCCAGAGTCAGCACCTTCTTGGCCGGGCCCTCAGCCACAGCGCCCCACAGCAGCAGCAGCGCCAGGAGCCCAAGCAGTGATCCCATGGCCCCAAAGGGGATGGATGAGTCCAGCAGACCTGAGCCTCCCGGGACGAGGGTAGACACAGCGAAGAGAGGAGGAAACGGAGCAGGAAAGGACAGACAGGAAGAGAGATGAGAAGGGGCCCAGCTCCTGCAGGGAGACAGACGGACGGACGGACAAACAGGGAGAAGTGGGACCTGAGAGCAGCTACCCCTTAGCCTTGGCTTCCCCAAACCTCTCTCCCCGGGGACGCAGGAGCCAGGGAGAGGTGGTGTCGCTAACTAGGCTGAGACGCTCCTGGGGCACCTGGCCTGTCTCTCAGCCTTGCCCTGATCTGGGTCTAGAGATGGGCCCTGTGCCCATCCCAAACGCAGCACGGAGGGCGGGAGACTGAGAGTAAACAGGAGACCCCCGCCCACGCCAACCCCGCTGTGAACTGAAGAGTGTCCAAGACCCTGCAGAGACCTCCCTGCCCAACACCTTTGCAGCGGAGACCAGGTCAGAGTCCCACACTTGGGGTCCAGTGCCCATCTTGAGCCTTGGATTTCCTGAGAGGGGCCATTGCTGGCTGAGAAGCCACCAGGGAAGAGGGAAGAAAGTGTCTAAAGGGTAGTTAGTCTCTGCCTCCTAGGGAGACTGCACCCAAGGGTCCTAACCTCTGGTTCTTAAAAAGCCAGCCCCAGAGTTCCCTGACTAAGGAAGTAACAGACTCTGGGCCCTGGGACTTAGGCAGCAAGGTGGAGAGGCTGGCCCCAAGGAGGGATGCTGAAGTGGCCACAGGTCTTACGTCGACAGGGAAAGTAGATGTGAGTACGTGTGTGTGTGTGTGTGTGTGTCTTGGGTGGGGGGTAGTACGGCTAAAAACTCAAAACGGTGCTCAAAGTGAGACTTAGAACACTTAGCTCTACACAGAATGCTCTTGGAGGCTTTACCTCCGTTTTCTCTCTAGCTCAGAACCAAGCACAAAAAGTCTCCATCTCCAGTCTCCCCATCCTCAGCCTCGGGGCCCTGTTCACCCTGTCCCTGGCCCTCAGAGACCGTGCACTCCCCGTTCCACTCTGCACCCCATCGGTCATGCCCTCCCAGACACCTACCCCAGACAGGCTCTCAGAAACACGCAGGCTTGGGCAACTCAGCCTAAAGAGGGGCAGCAGCTAATTCAAGGACCCCATGTCCTGGCCACAGAGGCTGAGGCTCTCCACTTTGCTCCCCAGGGTTAATCTGCTGATGCCAGGGCAGGTGACTGGGATCCTGTGGGTGCCCCCGAAAGAAGCGGCTCCACCAGGCAAACAGGAGAGAGAGGCTGCATGGAGACCAACACGGATGGGGACAGGGACCCAGATGGGGGCTGAGGCCCAAACGGGTCAAGATCACGAGCCTCCCACAGGGGTGGCCGGGACCAAAGCTCTGACAGGGACTGAACCCCAGAGGTGCAGCTTAGGGGCCCCGGGCCACAAAACCCGGGCAGGGAGCGATCCAGCAGGAGAGGCTGAGACAAAGACAGACGCACAGACAGAAAGACGGACCTTAGGACAGAGGGGCCGAAGGGACGAGGGAGCGTGATGCAGGGCGTGCGTTTTCTGGGGAAGAAAGGCGGGACGCCTAGGGCTGTCTTCCCGCTTCCCCGAGCTCCCGGAGAGCGCTGTCTGGAGCCCCGGCCCGTCCCGGCCCGAGCGCCCCAGAACTCGAGGGCCCGCTGGACTCCGGGACGTGGGGTCAGGGTCGATAAGGTCGGCGGTGGCCGCGGCACCCCGGGCTTACCCTACCTGGCGCGCCGGCTCCGG